TGCTGGGGTAGGGTGTATGGAAATATTCTGGTATATGTAGATGAGTAGTAGCTAATGGTAGCAAAACTGGTTTATTTGTTTGTTTGTTTGTTAGTTTGTTTTCTTTGTTTGCCCTATAATCATAGGAAACATTTTAAGTTAAATTATACAGAAATGTGAAAAGAAGAACTGTAAGAAATTTCCTTCCAAGTGAATTAATAGCCTCTAACAACTTCTTACAGTAGCTAACAGAAATGTGAAGTCTGAAAGATGCTTAAAGACATAAATACTGTCTAGTATGAAAATGTGTCACATTTTTGCCCTAACCGGTTTGGCTCAGTGGATGGAGCGTCGGCCTGCGGACTCAGGGGTCTCAGGTTCGATTCCAGTAAGGGGCGTTACCTTGGTTGCTGGCACATACCCAGTGGGGAGTGCGCAGGAGGCAGCTAATTGATGTTTATCTCTCATTTCTATCTCTCTCCCTTCCTCTCTGTGAAAGATCAATAAATTTTTATTTATTTATTTATTTATTTTAAGAAATATGTCAGCCAAAACCGGTTTGGCTCAGTGGATAGAGCATCAGTCTGCAGACTGAAAGGTCCCAGGTTCAATTCCAGTCAAGGGCATGTACTTTGGTTGTGGCACATCCCCAGTAGGGGATCTGCAGGAGGCAGCTGGTTGATGTTTCTAGCTTTCTATCCCTCTCCCTTCCTCTCTGTAAAAAATCAATAAAATATATTATTTTTAAAAATCCTCACCCAAGGATTTAAAATAAATAAATATAAAAATAAAAATAAATGTGGCACATTTTCACCTTTGATGATGTGACAGGTACTGTGATGAGAGCTTGGGATGCCTTTGATAAAGCAGCGCGCTGCATCCTCTGTGCCTTGAGGGACCTCCCTTCATGATTATACTGGGGACAGATGCTGTGCCATCTGAACAATGGCCAGAGCTCTGCTACAACCTCCCTTCCAGACAGCACATCTGCGAGAAGATGAAATATGTGCACAGTATCTTGACAGTTTGGGTTACACAGGTACACGCAGGTGTCAAAACTCAGCAAATGTACACTGAAGATTTGTGTTTCTTTGGATCTAAATTTTACATTTTAAAAAACTATGAACAAATATTGATGTCTAGATAAAGATCTGCATGCTGGAATATGTGGAAGGAAGTGTACCAGTGTCTTCAATTTCCTTGAAATGCATCAAAAATAAGATGTGGGGTTTATAGTAAAATGGTAATGGCAGAATCTAGATGGTGGGTATTCAAGCATTCACTATAAAATGATTTCAAATGTGTTGTATGTTTGAACTTTTTCATAATACAATGTAGAGTGGAGGAAAGCAGACATATGTATTGATGTGATAGGAAACAGCAGCACAAATTAATCCATTGGTGGTACTCCACAAATTGCAACATGGCATTTAAGACATTTGTGTGTGTGAGGGGCTTTTTATTTTTTTACAGTTCTTTCCAGTGTTTGCTGAATTCTTTGAAACACAAGAAACCCAGGGAATTCATCGAAAACCACTACTACTATTAACGTAGTGTACGTAGGGTTTGTGAATATCTTAGAGGTGTGTCTTATATTTCTTATCTTCAAAGTGTAGCTGCAAAACAGGTCATTATTGAAACTTACCACGCGGGGGTGCTGTTCTGTGCACATTACCTGAGTTAACAAATGGATTTTCACACTAATCCCGGGGTGGACACGTTCAGGCCAAGGGCGATATAAAGTCCCAAAAATCATTTGGTCTGGCCCTGCCAAGGCATTAGGGGTGAGCTAATTAAATGCTTGACCAAGTATAGCAGCTAATTTTAAGTGGATAATTTTGTGAGGCCCACAAATGAGGTTATGACTATCCAAATGGACCTTGGCAGAAAAAAACGTTCCCCAGCCCTGCTCTAGACTGTCACCAGGCTGGAAGGGAGACCTGCCGTTATTCCATTACTCAACGAATGCTGTTTCAGGGGATGTTAACTTCTTTTAGCAGCCTTCCTTCGATCATATTAACCTTGCAGTCAATGCAACTTCTCAGTCTTCTCAGAAGAAAACTAGTAAATCGACTTCTCTTAATTCAAAGACTACTGGTCTTTTTATTTTTGTTAACCTATTGAATCCCCCATTGTTTTTGTTATTGGTCCCCCGTATATCTATGAAACGCCATTTCTAAGACTCAGCAGGTGGGTGGTCCCAGGCCAGTTGCTTAGCCCTCTGTGCTCTGATTTCCTAACCTGTAAGTTGGAGGTGTTAATCGTGTCTGTCTCATAAGGTGTGTGGGGATGAGATGAGTTAATTCGTGTAGTGTGTCCAGAATAATGCCTGGCTCATCCGTACTTAATAACCATTAGTTATTAATGTCTTTATGCTCATAATCTATCACAGTCTCTCATGATTATATTGTAAACACCCTCACCTAATGAGAATTTGTCACTAAGCAAACTGTACAACATGGGACATGGTTAAGGAACTGGTTTGCTAACTGCAAGTCAGGGACTGAAAAGAAAGGGAGGGTAGGATGGGGTTGGGCAGAGAAGGAGGCATAGGCCTTCTGACCCCACTTCCAACAGACTCCTTCTCTTTATTGCTTTATTATTATTATTATTATTATTATTATTATTATGTTTCTAGAAATGTCACATGTGAGGAAAGAGTTCTACGTTAGGCGGAAAAAGTAATCTTGGCTAAGCTGCTAATGAGGGTAATGCCCTATCCCTGCCAATTACAATTCAGTTCAGGAAAACCTTATTGGATGCAGTGCCTACTGTGTACAGTGCCTACTGCCCCCTGGGAAGAAGGAATAAGCCTATTCTTGGTTTGTGATGCAGAGCTAACCTGTTCCGCAGTCCGCCCTGCATGCTCTGGCAGAGCTGCAGAGTGCAATGTCACCACAGGAGCAGGGGGCCCGGGGGAGACTTCCGGGAGAAGGTGGCTTTTGAGGAGGGGCGATCGGCAGAGATGAATGGGCTGGAAGCCCAGGCAGCAGAGGGTGGAGCTTCGATCCTCATTCTCCACCCTGATCAAATGATTCTCAATGTCCAAGCTTCATTCTGGTTTAACTGGAGAATGGGGGAGGGAAAGAAATGAGAGGGTGGGAACCCCAATATGCCACAAGGAGGAGGTCAGCCTTTCTGCCCAGGTTTGGATCAAGAAAGTGACCTAATCAGAGCCGTTTTAGGAAAATGCACGTAACACCAGCACTTCTTTAATTTATGGTGCAAGACACTCGACAAGTTATCACAGGAGGCACTTGGGGATGGGGAGACTGGATTAAAGTGATCTCTAAGTAGAATTAGCTCTCAGTAATCATTTCCAACCTAGCTCATTCGGGCAGGTTGGGCCTCCTTATGTTTTGTTATTGCTGGATCTGATGAATCTTTCTAAAAGAAAAAAAGAAAAAAAAAGCTGCAGCACATTGCTGCCGTTGAAAGCCTGCATTTTTAAGGGTATAATACACAGTGACAGTTTTGATGTATGCCAGTGGGTGTGGGTCCCAGTGCTTCACTGTTCTCTGTCTGCATAATTTACCAGTAAAACGACAATTTAGTCTGTCAAACTTCAATATGAGTGAAGTTCCTTGGATATTTATGAAACATCTAATAGGTAGAACAGTGTCGGCAAATGATGGTGTGTGTCTTTTTTTATTATGAAATCACAGAAAGCTACTTGGATGATAGTTGCTGGCAACTCACCAATAAACCAAACTTCCAGCTACGGTAAAAAATGCGGTGGTCGTGGTTTTGAATGTATTTTCACCCAGTGGTGAAATAAATTTTAAAAATGATATTACAGCCAAAACCGGTTTGGCTCAGTGGATAGAGCATCTGCCTGCGGACTGAAAGGTCCCAGGTTCGATTCCAGTCAAGGGCATGCACCTTGGTTGCGGGCACATCCCCAGTAGTGGGTGTGGAAGAGGCAGCTGATCAATGTTCTCTCTCATTGATGTTTCTATTTCAATATTATAGCTTTCTATCCCTCGCTCTTCCTCTCTGTAAAAACTCAATAAAATATATTTTTTAAATAAAATAAATTTAAAAATCTATCTTTAAAAAAATAAATAAATAAAAATGATATTACAGGACTCCAGCCCAAACTGTAATCAGAGATTGAAAGGCAGGACAGTAACACACCTTTTGTTTTATTGTTTAATGCATTGACACTCCATGGTTGCAGGTTCCCCTCCGGAAGTGAAAGTTACCCATGCAAACAGAGAAAGCTTTGGTCTGCAGGCGTAGTTAGTTGACTGCTGGTGTTTAGCCCTCTGCCCAGACACCGGGAGGCCTGACACGTTTAGAATTGGGGTATTTTTTTACCTGCAGCTCTACATGCACCCTGCACATTATATCAGCTATATGCCTAAGGAAGTGAACAGTGAACACAGCTTTTCGTGAACCTACTTATTTATATACTTAAAAAAAAAAAAAAAAAAAAAAAAAAAAAAAAAACGGGCCAGAGCCCTGGCTGGTTTGGCCAAGCAGACTGAAGGGTCCCAGGTTCCATCCCAGTCAAGGGCATGTACCTTGGTTGCCAGCACATCCCAGTGCGGGTGTGCAAGAGGCAGCTGATCGATGTTTCTAACTTTCTATTCCTATCTCTTTCTCTCTTTAAAAAAATCAATAAAATATATATATTTTTAAATATTTTGTTGATTTTTTACAGAGAGGAAGAGAGACAGAGTCAGCTGATCAATGTTTCTGGGTATGTGCCTGCAACCAAGGTATATGCCCTTCAGTCCGCAAGCTGACGCTCTATCCACTGAGCCAAACCGGTTTCGGCAATAAAATAAATTAAAAAAAAAATAAATAAAATTAAATTTAATTTAAAAAAAAGGGGCAGAACTCGGGGCAGAAAGCAAGCGCCCTAGTCAGCCCGGGCAGCGCCCGCTGAGTCGGGTCTGAGCTGGCCGCTAGGGGGCGTCCCGCCTTAAGGTCCCTCCCGCAGGCCCCGCCCCCAGCGCCTCTGCCCCGCGGGCCCCCGCCTCTCGGCGCCGGGCTCTGACGTCATCGCTGCGCCGCTGAGCAGAAAGCAGGAAGTGGGACCAAAACAAAGGAGCGGCTGCCCCGAGCGGACCTGCTTTCCGCCTCCCTTCCGCGCGCGTCCCCCAGGCCGCCCACCCCCGAGGAGCCGCCCGACCATGTCCAACATGGAGAAGCACCTGTTCAACCTCAAGTTCGCGGCCAAGGAGCTGAGCAGAAGCGCCAAGAAATGCGACAAGGAGGAGAAGGCCGAAAAGGCCAAAATCAAAAAGGCCATTCAGAAGGGCAACATGGAAGTGGCGAAGATCCACGCCGAGAACGCCATCCGCCAGAAGAACCAGGCCGTGAATTTCCTGAGGATGAGTGCGCGGGTCGATGCGGTGGCCGCCCGGGTCCAGACGGCCGTGACGATGGGCAAGGTGACCAAGTCCATGGCCGGGGTGGTGAAGTCGATGGACGCGACGCTGAAGACCATGAACCTGGAGAAGATCTCCGCCCTGATGGACAAGTTCGAGCACCAGTTCGAGACGCTGGACGTCCAGACGCAGCAGATGGAAGACACCATGAGCAGCACGACGACGCTGACCACTCCCCAGAGCCAAGTGGATATGCTGCTCCAGGAAATGGCAGACGAGGCCGGCCTGGACCTCAACATGGAGCTGCCGCAGGGCCAGACCGACTCCGTGGGCACCAGCGTGGCCTCGGCGGAGCAGGACGAGCTGTCCCAGAGGCTGGCCCGCCTGCGAGATCAAGTGTAACGCCCGGGCGCCCTCGGAGGCTTCCTGGCAGTGGCCCCCTCTGAAATGCTCTCTGTGTCTTAGAGAGAGATTATCACACACTACATAACCTTGGAATATGCCAGAATGCCGAAACGCTCCTAAGATGCTTCTGCCTTTGGGTTTACAGCGCACTCTCGGTACATTAAGAAGTTCCAGGCTTTCTCCGCCCTTAACTGGATTTTAAAGTTCTGTATATCTTGTGATAATGTGTATTTTTATAGCTGCCTTTTAACAGGACTAGCTAACTTGGTGTATATGAGTCTTCCTCAAAAGTTTTATCAAATCTCTAGTTCCTGTGTATTCAGTTTTCTGCCTGAACTATCAAAGTTGAAGTTTATTCTGACTTTAGTGTAATTGTTGATGATATATAAAATTGAAATGTGGTACATGAAAAGAAAATGATTACTTTGATTGCAGGGTTATCAACACCTCATTCAACTTATTTAATAGACAGTGCCATTTCTATGTATCCTTTGTGTGTTTTTTTGCCATCAAAATGAGACTACAGTTGGCTCTTCATCTGTTTCATAACTTACATTAAAATTACCTTAGGACATTCTTGTGTAATACGCTTTTACTGTTTACATGCTGTAAAATTTTTTTTAAGATTTATAAGGTTGAACATATGACAGTTTCTTTCAAATGAACTTCTCTAACATTTCTAGTTATTTTCCTATCTCACCACTTTAATTACATTTCTTAAAAATGTTAATTAGCGTGGCAGCCACATTACTCACTCCAACGTTGCCAAAGAACTATTGATTGGTTTGAGAAAACCCTGGGACTGTGTGTTTGTAGGTTTTGTTTTGGTTTTAACAACCAAAAATAGAGTTACAATTAGAACAGCTTTTTAAGTTCAACTTATTTGCATTTATTACGTTGCTCTTAAAACAATTATTTAAAAACTTTGGAAATGTGAGTTGGAATGTTTTACGTAGCCATGTAGCCAGAATGAAGTCAGGGAGGAAGAAGAGATGCAGGATGGGAAAGCATGCTTGACCCTCTGAGGCTGGGACTCCCCTGTGCTGCCTTCCATCCTTCTGGAATAGCAGGGTGCATTTTCTAGCTGAAAAGGAAATCCTGTAGCCAAAACTTTGTTAGCCTCAAAACGCGAAGAACACCAGTTTGCTTTTGCCTTGACAAGTCTGTTAACCTAACATGAATACTTATGGGTATTTTAAATTCCTCTTTTCCTTCCCTGGAAGATTTCTTCATAAAAGAATACCAGTGTTTCAGAAAAGTAACTATAGGGACTCTCCCAGCCCTTTTGAAGGATTCACTGTTATGACATGTTTTCCAGTGTAACTGCGTGTGTTTAAGGGGAGAAAAAAGCACATATAAATAAATGGGAACTGCCCCTTAAATTTAAGTGTCTTTATATCGGACTGGTTGTTGTTCTGAAGCCTTTTCTAAGGGGCCCCTGTCCGTTGTCAGCCCCACATGTTTGTAGAACTCCCTTCTTTGGATGTCTCCTCTCCACGTGGTTGCACAGAGGCACCTGTGTGAGTACAGCATGAGTTGTAACCCCTCTTTGGCTGGAACAAATAATTAAAACTTTGAAAAGAGCTTAGTGTTGAGTCCTTTGGTAAATTGAAGACCCTTTCGTAATAGAAATGTTCCCAACAATATTCATATATTTTGTGAGATTAAACAACTCTTGAATAAGCTTGAACTTTCTTAAAATGTGTTCATTTTAAACTATATGGATGCACATTGTTAGGAACCATAAGTATTTTTTCAAAAGCATATTAGGCCCATGAATTTCCTTATTTTTGCAGTTGATGAAATATTGAAGTGTAAACCAAGAAGTTTATCAAATAAATAATCTTAAACAGCATGTTACTACATATGAGTGCATTCCGTTTGAAGAGCTATTTAAGAACAATAATTCAGGGGCAGGTTTTGTTCAGAAAGCCTGATATTTTTTCAAACTCACTACCTGAATGTCCAGGTAGCATGGAATTTTCATGCACGTTTCTAGAAGCCTATTTCTAGCTATTACTTCTTTATTGTAATAGTTTATTAAAAGCAACAAGATTCTCTCTCTCATTGAAACTTTTCCAGCAACAGATAGATGCAGTTTTCAAAAGGCTCCAACTCACCGAAGCCGGTTTGGCTCAGTGGTAGAGCGTTGGTCTGCGGACTGAAAGATCCCAGGTTTGATTCCAGGCAAGGGCGTGTACGTTGGTTGTGGGCACATCCCCAGTGGGGGTGTGCAGGAGGCAGCTGATCGATGTTTCTAGCTCTCTATCTCTCTCCCTTCCTCTCTGTAAAAAATCAATAAAATATATTTAAAAAGAAAGAAAGAAAGAAAAAGAAATGCAGAATAAGAAAACCCAGCATTAAAAAAAAAGGGGGTGGGGGAGATCCAACTCAAACATTCCAATAGTTGATCTCCTATGCAACTACTAATAGTTTTGCTCTTTATTTCTCTCTTATTTTTCTGCCTTCAAATGTATAGTTTCTAACCTGGGTTTAGAACATACTTTTTCTTTTTTCTTTTTTTTCTTTTTAAATATTTTATTGATTTTGTACAGAGAGGAAGGGAGAGAGATAGAGAGTTAGAAACATCGATGAGAGAGAGTCATTGATCAGTTGCCTCTTGCACACCTCCTACTGGGGATATGCCCGCAACCAAGGTACATGCCCTTGACCAGAATCGAACCCAGGTCCCTTCAGTCCCCAAGCCGACGCTCTATCCATTGAGCTAAACCGGTCTCGGCAGAACATACTTTTTCTTTCTTTATGAACAATTTAGATTATTTCAGTTCAGTTATATGTGCACAATTGGAGAACTTGCTGACTAAAGCTATTGCTTCTTGAAGGCATGTTAATGCATGTGTGTACCTTTTAGATAGAAACATGCTGTGAGTGTTGGACACTGTGCCCACCCAGCTGTCTCTGATTTGTAAAAAAGTCACCTAAAATAAGTACCAGTCTAATAACCTTATTATCTGAACCTGGTCTCAGGGTCAGCCAGACAATCTCACACTGTGAAGTAGAAGTGAGGGGCTTTCTGTTGTAGATTCTTCCTTTGCAATACGCACAACACTCTCTTGGAGGCATTTCTGTAGCCAAAATCCAAAACTCTAGGCTTTGAGTACTATTGACAAAAAGCCACCAGCCGATGAACATTGAACAAACGGATGGGCAAGCCTCTTTCATTTTTTTAATTATAATCAACTGGCTGGCACTAATAAAATGCCTGCCTGGAAAAAAAAAAAAAATGCCTGCCTGGTTGCCTATGTTCATGTTTCTACAACTGGATGGCTTTCTACAACCGTGTGGAACAGGACAGACAGTGCTTCTCTTGGCCACGATTGCTGGACCTAGTGTGGTCCGCAGCTCAGCTGGCTCCTGCTAGGGAAGTGAGTAATTGGTCATTGATTGCATCTGATCCTGATGTCGGCTATGGCATCCTTCTGTCTGGTTTCCCCAGTGGTTAGTCATTGGGATGTTCCTTTTTGTTTGATGCCAACCAGAGCCCCATTCTGAGTGCTTAATGATGAAGAGAGTAGTTGTTCAAGGGAGAGGAAGTCAGAGTTTTGGATAAGGCCAGATTAAATCAAAAGGGGTGGGAAAAAGAAGAACAGATCAGATTAAACAAAATAGGGTTTCTGCATGGTTATATAATTTGCATGGATCTTCACCCTGCTGTTCTCTGTCACTCCATAGTATTTTAATACCATGAAAATAAGTATCTTATAAACTGTGCACCTATGAATGAGGACAATGGGGGGTGGGGAGGGGGCAGAGGATGGGGTGGGAACCTGGTGGAAGGGGGAAGAAATGAGGAACCTTTGTAATAATATGAACAATAAAGATTGATTTAAAAAAAAAAAAAAAAGAAAGAAATCTCCTCTGAAGACTAAATAAATAACAAACAAAAAAAACCTTAAAAAAAAATAAGTATCTTGAAATCAATTTCAATAACACTAAGAAAAGGTTTTTATTTACCTTGACAGAGTTCCAACTTGGTAAGTTTTTCACAGAGATAATATTAAATATATTTAAATAAATGTATATGTTAAAAGTAAATGATTTTTAAATAAATCATCTTTTCATGATCCCTTCCTTATCCCTTTTCATGATCGACTCCATAGACATAAGAACTCTGACTTTTAAGTTATTTTAGAAGAGGAGTAGAAATAGATGAGAACTAAACAATGAATTGCTCTTTTGAACCAATATGAAACAGAAAAAAAGATCTAAATGATGAGAAGAAAAACGCTTCTGCAAACATAAATATCCTCAGCTGTAGCAGAAAATGGAAGAAAATGTAAATAAAATGCTTTTTAACTGCTTTTATTAGTGCCCACATGAGGGTGATGTTTTACAGCTGTAATTCAGTATTGCCTTACAACTATGTATCTAGTGTGAATGGATGGTCTATCAGGGGGATTCTTTAATCTGGTGACATTTAAGAAGACAGTGTAAGCTTTAAAATGCAGTCGTGTGAGATTCTGTGTATGATTTGAAAGCCCCTTTAAACTCATCTCTTCATACAGGGTGTCCCAAAGAAGTGCATACACACTCTTACCAGCTGATAGCTCAGTTTTGAAACAAATGCCTTTTAATAAACACTGCCTTTATAATTATTCAAAGTGTGTGTATACATTTTTTGGGACACCCTATATTATCTTAGGAGCCTTGATTTGAAGTACTTCTACAACATACTGAGAAATACGTGGATTGAACCAAAACCCTAGGCAAAATGTAGCAGAAATTTATAGGTTTTATTTTATGCCTTTATTTCTCAGACAGTGTCTCAAAGAACTGGGGGATGCATTCACATGCAGGGGGAATTTTCACTTTTTACTTTATTGTACAAACTTGAAACCTGTGCACTCAGAATACCAGTCAGCACCAGTAACAATTCAAGCGATGCTCTTAGAAATGTTCATTGATGCTTCTCAGAGCTCCCTTAGATGGTTAAGCATGAGATAAAACTTGAATACCCATCCTGGAGTCTGCGGGTGGGAAATGAACTTGACACCTTTGCCTTTGTCATCGACATCTCAGAACCTCGTATTTTTAGCAGCATTCAGGAAGGTACTCCCCCCACTTCCTTTCGGAGGCGGTCTTTAATCCCATCTCTCAGTATTTTTTTAGCCTTATTCCACTGTTTCTACTTACACTGCTTATTAACGGGTTAATCAAGCCACTCACCTCCCTCACCCTCTCTATGTCCCCATAGAAATTGGTTGCTTCCTTCCTAAACTTGATAACTAAAGGCTTCATGTTTCGTTTAATGTTTAGTTCCTTCCAGCCCTTTTAATCAGAGACTATGGTTTCTGTGTCACAGGTCAGTATTATCTGTCCCCAGCCAGGAGAACAGATCCTTTCCGAATCCCGTTATTGCAGCCCACTATGGGTTGGGGTTGGGGGCAGGGAGCAGCTCAGCTCCCATCTGAGACCCTCCTGGAGGGCTGGGCCGCAGTGCAGGGATCCCTTTCCAGGAGCAGAAACCTCTTCCTCCATCACAGAATCTTCTGGCTCCTTTCCTGCTGGATGGTCAGAAGCTCAGCGGGTATTTCACCAAATTCAAGACCAGCAAGCCCTTAGCCAGACCGCATTGTGATGTTCAAACCTGGAGCCTTCCGTTTCTCCCGCTCCCAGGCGGGCCCCGCCTGTGGCATTTCCCCACCTGCTTGCATTCTTCCAAACTGCTCCGTCTCAGGCACCAGCCCCGCCCGCCAGGCCCAATTCACCGGAAGGGCCGCAGGCAGCCGGGCCCCTCTGGCTCTCCGTGGCACTGCCACCCCCTCCAGGAGCAGGTGACTTTTAACAACTCCTGCAGCGGGCAGTGCAGCCACAGACACCTCCCTGCACAGCTGCTTCCCCTGGCGTGGGCCTGGCCCTGGCTGCCAGCTGAAATGGCCTCACTGCCCTCACCACCTTTTGTCTCTGGGAGGATGTCCGACACCAGCAGACCCACCCTGGCCCCTTGCTACGTTCTGCTGGTGGCTTACCTGCCGCGGAGTTGGTTGCCTCTTGTGGCAGCTCTAAGGCAGGTCTTGGTCCTGGAGCAGCCGGGCCTTGTGCCAAATCAAGGGCCCCTGGATGGAGGGGCACCTAAATGCCATCCCAGCAGCAGGACCCTGGGGCTGTCCTTAGCCAGGAGTGGAGGTGGCCGGAGAGTGAAGTGGTCTTGCTGTGTCCTTGGCCTCCTCTCGCCCGTGCTGAAAGCCTCTTAAGACTGAGTGCAGGCTGGTGGGGGTGCTGGTGGGGGAACGAGTGGAGACGGGAGGGGACACTTCTGTGCCATGCAGAATGCTGCATTTCAAGGGCTTAGAAGAAGGCCCCATCTTTGCTTTACTTCACATACCCAGTGATGGCGCCCAAACCTTCCAGTGCTGGGCAGGCAGGGGAGCAGGACCCTGTCCCTGTCTACGTCATGTGCACTCCGCTCCGTGTAGGAGCCTCACCCTGGCCAGGGGGCACCCACGGGCGGGAGAAGCTGGGCCGCTGCGGCCACACTCCCTCCTCCTGCTCCCCTGCCCTTCTGCAGCCCCGCCGCCCACTCTTCCCTCGCGGCCCTCTGACCACCAGCCACCAGTCCCCACCAGCTTCTGAGTCTTGACCATCTGTGTCCTTTGGGGGCTCGGCCTCTCGGCCACCTGCTCGCTTACCTCTTCCATCCAGCCCCCGGAGGAGGAGGAGGGGAGTCACCAGACAAGTCATCAGGGGTCAGGTCTCCCAGGGTGCTGGGCCTGTTCCGGGCGGCTTGTGATTTGTAGGCAGAAACAGATAACAAACAAAGGAGGTTTATTATCAGGTCGTGCTAAGCACTTTGTAGACAAATAAAGCAAGGCTGGCATGGAGGTGGACAGGGTGCTGTTTTAGACAAGATGCACAGGGGGCCCCTGGCGGGTGAGCAGGCGGTGCAGGGGAGGGCCAGCACCCGCGTCTGTCTTCCACCTGCAGGTGCAGTGTAAGCTCCTTCCTGCTGCTTACTCCTCCTGCCTCCTATTGTGTATCATATCACACCTCTGGGTCCAATCTTATAGCTTCTACCCCGTGGGCTCCCCAGATTAAACTCGCTCTCTCTCTCTCTCTCTCTCTCTCTCTCTCTCTCTCTCTTTCTCTCTCTCTTTCTCTCACTCTCTCATACACACACACACACACACACACACCCTCTCACACTCCTAAGGTTTCAGACCTTATCAGGAACTTATTACACTAAAGGAACATCTCTCACTTCCTGTTTTGTATTTACAGCCCACCATGGCCCTCTACTAGCTTAGCCCTGGAAGGAAGTCTGTGCCCCTTCCAATTTATGATGGTCCCTCACCCCCTGCCCTATAACATTGGACGAGAGGGAAGGCAGAGGGAACGGGGGAAAGAAGGCAGTCGTGGCAGCATAACTACCTCAATCCCGACTGTGATGCTACTCGGGCAGACACCTGTGCGGGGTGGAAACCGGGAGCTTCCCTCGCTCCTGCTGGCCGTCCCCTCCGGTGCTGGCGCGGCTGTCCCCCGGTCACCCACAGCCCAGGAGGTGGTCCTCCGAGGCCTTCCTGAGCCCTGCTGGCTTTCCTTTCAGCTTCCTGGAGAGAATCGACAGCGTCAGCCTGGTGGACTACACCCCCACGGACCAGGTACGTGACCTTAGAGCTGAGCTACCTGCTAGAGGTCAAAGACATTGCCAGTATTATTCAGTGATTCTTTTTTTAAATGGATTGAGGAAACTTTTCTTCAAATAACTACTTCTTGAAAATGATGTTGTCCCTGCCTGTGCAGGTAGTATATGTTTGCTATGCCCTGTTAATGGCCCATGGACTTAGCTCTCTGAAATGTACTAAATGTCTACATTCCAAACATCAAAATAATGTTATTTTGGAATAGGCCTAAGCCATTCCCATTCCTCTTGGAGCTTAGTTTTCCACAGAAAACTAAACCTTTGCCTCCCTGGCTTCATAAACCCTGTCCATCCTGCTTTCGGCCCTGGTCTGAGTCACAAACCACAGCACACTCTTCAGGGGTTGAGCCAGGAAGTTTACTCTCTGCGAGTAGCAGAGAGGGACCTTCCATGGCTCCCAAACCTTCGGCCCTCGGGCCTCTGTAGAGACTTGGACAACCATGCATTGTTCAGCGTAGGCGCCCTCCCAGCCTCCAGAGCTAGTGAGCTCCAAAGAAGTGAGGGGGCTCCGTTCAGACTCCCAGTCTGCGTCCCCCAGAGGGCCTTGCCTGGATCTCGGGGAGGCTTTCTCGTCTGTGCGCACATCCTGGGGGTCTGAGCTCCTCTCCATCCCTCAACGTCCACCTGTCTCCGGGGCTGGCTCTGAGCAAGCGCTCAGAGTTACCTGGCAGAGCAGCGGAGCCCTCCCAGCCCTGACTCATTCCCTGAGGCTGTCCTGAGCCCCTCCCTTCAGGCTGAGAGGGGAGGACCACCTCTCAGCTTCCGGAGAGATGGCAGTGTCCGCTTCACCAACATCGCAATGGATTTGTGATCAGAAAAAAATACCCTGACATCTGGCAAACATACGTACGAGAGGTCTCAGCTTAAAAAATTATGGCTTTCTCCTCCCCTCCCGGCCACAATCAGCTTTTATCTTAGAGAGCAGAGAAGTCTGCAGGGGAGAGAGGAAATCTTAAATCAATTAGCAGCCAGTCCAGAGCATCCAATTGCACTTCCTCTGCTTTCTCACCCAAATGGCTCTAAACCCTGAGCAGCTGGCTCTCGGTTGTACCAGGAGAGTGCAGGCAACAACCTTAAGGGAGGGGTGTGGTTGTCAGGAGCACAGCAGTGGTTACATTCATCAGTGATTAAAAATAAAAATCCTAAAAAAAAATAAAATAAAATAAAGCACAGCTATCAAGTCTCTAAGACAAAACCAATGCATTAACTGTGACTTTCTCGGGGGTGGGGCTCGGGGAGGGAGACGGAGCACTTCTGTCTGAGTGTTCATTACTGCACTGTTGTTTCTTATACAATATAATGGAAGAAACCGCTATTTGAAAAGCTCCCTCATGCTTGCGTCCCGGGCTCCTTCCCTTCGGAAGGAGAGCAGTGGTGTCACTTGGTCTGCTTTTCTCTCCCTGCTCCAGGACCTTCTCAGATGCAGAGTTCTGACATCAGGGATTTTTGAGACACGATTCCAAGTGGACAAAGTAAACTTCCAGTAAGTGTGTTGTTGGGAGCAGGCCTGCTGGGGGGCTGTGGACAGGAGCCCCGCCCTGCTTCCGTCTGGGGCCCCCCGGGCGTGGGGCCAGGAGACACCTCGAATCCCAAATGTATTGCCATCCTTCACGATAAGTAACTGTGACCGTGTGGCCCTGAAGTGCATGCAGTGGGTGTAGGGAAGGGAGGAGTCCAAGACTGGAGAGGCCTTTGAAGGAGAAAGATCCCAGGCATCGGAGGGGCAGGTAGAGAGACACTGCAGCCTGAAATTCGGGCAGCGGGGTGCACCTCACAGGCTGGCCCAAGAAGAGGAGCCTGAGCCACCGATGACCACAGGGCCAGGGCTGCGACCCGAGAAACGACTGGCTGTGGACGCCCAGGCGGGCTCCCTGGAGCACACCCGGGGCTGCCCGAGCAGCCTGCCGAGGCCGCGCAGGCCCAGGTCACACGGGCCCAGGTCACACGGGCTGTGCTGCAGGCGGGCAGCAGGAAGAAGGGCACAGAGTGCAGGGTGCGTCCTCACAGCCCAAGTAATTGTCATCCTCTTCTCCTTCCACAGCATGTTTGATGTCGGTGGCCAGAGGGACGAGAGAAGAAAGTGGATCCAGTGCTTTAACGGTGATTTCTAAGCTTCCTCAAGAAAAGGGGATGAGTTCTCCCCTAGCTCCTGCCACTGTATTTAAATAGTTTTGCATGATGTCATCTATAAAATGCCTTCAATGTGATTCTCATAAGTAAGGAATTTAAGTGTCCTCAGCTCCCATTTGCCATGTGCTAATAATACAGGGTGGATTCCTGGCCAGGCAGGTGACTAAAGGACCAGCGCACGTGCGTATACACACACACACACACACACACACACACACACACACACACACAGTGCTGGTTCACGTCTTTCTCGCGGGCAGGAAGTGAAAACCACCCTGGGGATGGTGGCAGTTGGATGTGTACTTTGTCCTCAGCCCCAGCTACATCTGTCTAACTTCCTCTCCTCTCCCACTAAGATGTCACCGCCATCATTTACGTGGCAGCCTGCAGCAGCTACAACATGGTGATCCGGGAAGATAACAACACCAACCGGCTGAGAGAGTCCCTGGACCTTTTTGAAAGCATCTGGAACAACAGGTGATAAAAACGATAAGTTCAGTCTCGCCACTGGATTGCAAATTTTCTTTCATTGAAAGTATCACTCCGCTCACTTTGGTTATTATTCTCCAGATAAATTCATTCGTTCCTTACTGGTAAATCCAAAACTGCAAGAAGTATCTCTTTTAGTCCATCTCACATACAGACACACTTAACATGGACCGTTCCTTAATGGAGCCCTGCTGGTGCTTTGTGGAGAAAATTTATTGTTCCTCACTTATGGACTTTTCCCCCCATTGGTTTTTAGAGAGAGTGGAAGGAGGGAGGGAGAGAGAGAGAGAGAGAGAGAGATCAATTGGTTGCCGGAGTGGAGGATCACACCTGCAATCCACATATGTGCCCGTGGTTGGGAATCGAACCCACAACCCTTGGGTGCAAGGGCCACTGCTCTAACCACTGAGATAACCAGCCAAGGCTGTGAAGAAAATGTAAATCTCTGTTTTAAGAGCCCAAGATTATATCTAGGGTACAAAACTGGTTTGGTTTGGTTTTCAGAATTTAGAAAGTGCCAGTTTTAAGCATCCACATACAGCTAGGTGACCCCTAGGATCAGTTACAGTTCAAAAGTGCAATCTTGTCTGAAAGTGCTACTACTGCACAGGAGCGAATGGCACACACACCCCAAACGCTGCACATGGAGGTAATAATCAGTGTCTTCTGAAGTATTTGGGAAGAAATAGCACCATGGGGGTCAGAAACATAAGCTGGCCTTGCAAAAGGCCAGTAGGTCATCAGGCCAAAATTTCTCTAATAAAGTGTTCAACAATTGTTCTTATTTTTATACTATTAAGACAGTTAGTGGGAAAGAGTCAAGAAATACTGGGTATACACAGAAATGTGTTGGAGTCATTAGAATAGTTAGATAGCTATAGATTTGGTATAAATATAGATATAGATATAGATAGTTATAGAGATAGAGATATATAGATATAGATGATATAGATATAGATGATATAGATATAGATATAGATATAGATATAGATATAGATGATATAGATATAGATATAGATATATACACACACACACAGTCACATGGGAAAATGACCACAATGTTGTTAAATGAAAAGGCAGATTTAAAAACACCTTAATCTTATTTTTATAAACATGATAAATATGTGTGAGGATAGGGGGGAAAAAAGTAAAAACATAAACATTTTAATAGTTGTCTCTGGGTGTAATTACCGTATTTTTCGGACCATAAGACGCACTTTTTTCCCCCCCAGAAGTGGGGGGGGAAAGTCCCTGTGTCTTATGGTCCAAATATAGCCTACACATATACTTTTAAAAAAAAGTTTTTTTACTTGCCCGGCTCTGTGTGGTCTCTGTGTGCTTGCCCGGCTCTAAAATGGTTCTAAATGTTTACTTTACAGGGTTGATTACATGTGTTTATGACTGTGATGTTGGGTTTTAATGCACATAAAATATTTTAGGACACTATTTGTTTCAGAATCTTTTTTTCTTCATTTCCCTTCTCTAAAAACTGGTGCGTCTTATGGTCCGGTGCGTCTTATGGTCCGAAAAATACGGTACATTTTATTTTTTCCTATGTATTAATTTTTCTATAATTAAAATTTCATTTTTACAAGGACTATTTTTTTTAATCCTCACCTGAGGATGTTTTTTTATTTTAGAGAGAGGAAGGAAGAGCGAGAGAGAGAAAACCCTATCAGTTGCCTCTCGCATGCACCCCAACTGGGAATCAAACCCGTAACCTAGGCATGTGACCTGATCAGGATTAGAATCGTCCAACCAGCTGAGCCACACCAGCCAGGGTTTTTTAACTAGAAGAAACCTTAAGGCTATTTGCATTTGGGGGAAGAATGGGTTGTGTTTCTAATTCATAGTAAGATTCCTGTACACATTCCATTAGCCTGATTCCTTTGAAGGAATGGCATTTCTAAAGGCTTTGCTGATAGGCACCCTGAACTGGTGTTAAGCCAGTTTTCAGCATCTGTCAGAATGAGACAGAGAACTTGCCCGCCTGCACCTCCACATGCCTGAGTCCTCCTCCCCCCGCCCCCAGCCTGGCCTGTCCAGCTCCGGGATCTAGATAGATCTAGATCTGATGAACATTCTGCCCACGTCTGGAGAGTCAGACCTGCTCAGAGGTGGCAGGGGAAAACCAAGCCAGCACAACTATGTTCTTCTGCGCGATTAGCTCATGAGTCCTGTATCTTCTTAACAAGGCTGTAACTTCCTCTAGTTTTCTGACACTTTCTTAGTAAGTGACACCCGTCATAAATAATCCAAGTGTATTTATTACATGAGTAACCCTTAGCTTTGGTACCAGTAAGTGTCTGTCCCCAGGGCAGATAAGGTAGAAGGAGCTAAAACTGCTACGTCATCTGCTCTATTTAGTTACCGTTGTGAGAACGTCTTTCTTGGAGACCGAGTGCGGGATGGAGATACTGGTCTATCAGGAGAGGCTACGTCCTCGCGTGCCCTCCTTGCCCCCGAGTCCCTCCTGCGTTCGCCGTTCTTCCCCACAGAGCGATGTCCAACGTGTGTATCTATGTCTCCTCTCCAGGTGGCTGCGGACCATTTCCATCATCTTGTTCTTGAACAAACAAGATATGCTGGCGGAGAAAGTCTTGGCGGGGAAGTCAAAAATTGAGGATTATTTCCCAGAGTATGCAAACTATACTGTCCCTGAAGATGGTAAGGTTTCAAAACAAGGTTCCCCCTATTAAGGAAAAGACTTGGTTGTTCAGTAGCCTATCATTCCAACCTGTCCTGGTGGCTCTAGGACACTCAGTTCATTAAAATCCCTCCTCTTGGTGACTGCCCCCCCCCCCGGGAGGCTTCCATTGGTAAGAGCTGCAGTTTGCCTGCCCACCAGAACGGTGCCGTCGGAGGATGTTCAGTTTGGGTGTGAAAATGCCATTCGTTGGGGTAGGTTCTGCCTGCCTCTCAGTGCCTCACTTGGGCTTCAGTCAGCCCTTTCCAGTGACCTCCACGCTGAACCCTCCCAGTAACCCACGTGGGAGTTTTCGTTGTTTGTTTTCTTGTGGGAAGTGAGGCTGAAAGAGGGAAAGTCGCTTGTTCAAGGTCCCTCGGGTGGAGGCTGTGAGGACCTTTCCTCCGGAGCCCAGGCTTTCAGCCCCGTGTCTACATCTCCCGTCTCGAGGGGTGACTTGGGCCACGACACTGGTGATTCCCATTAGGGTGACCGCCCGTCTGCTGATGATTCCCATTAGGGTGACCGCCCGTCTGCTGGTGCTCCGGGACCTGGGACCCCAGGGCGAAGGCAGGACGGCCCTGCCCGGCAGAGCTGTTCCTGGCTGTTGCTCTGCAGTCCCGAGCAGACCCTGGGCCACCAGAGTCTCAGAGGATCTGTTTGTTTACAACACAATCACACCACTTCTCACGTTTGAACCCCAATCCAGATCGAGCAGAATGAAAGGGACTTTCCTGGAAACTCCAGCTAAGAAGTTAGGAAAATTCATCAGCCTCTTGGCACTGACCTCAGCCAGCCCTGGGTGTGCTTCCGGAGGCTAAGGCGGCTGCCCCCGCCCCACGGGGGTTTCCAGAGCACCCCTGGTGCTGCCCTCTCTGCTGCTGGATTTCCTGTCTCCCGACAATCGGCTCTGCTTTAACTTTCCCAGTCACCAGCCCCCGTTACCTGACCCATCCAGCCAGTACTGTGGGGCTTCCCGCCACTGTCCATCCAGTACCACACACTCCTCCTTTCCCCCTCCTTTGGGCCCTGGTCCTGGCCCTCCTCTCAGCTGTGAATCTGGTCAGTGCAGCTCCTCGCCCAGGCTCCCTGATTCTGGTCACTCAGCTTTCCAGAAAACTCTTTGGACTTCCGAATCGGTTCACAAACATGCGTAAGATCCCTATCGATGTTGATTTAATCTCCCATAAACTGAGGCCAATCCTGACCGGTCCAGGAAGTAGTAAACACCGCACCTCCCCCGACCCCTGAGCAATACTGCGCTCCTCCCCCACTCCCTCCTTCCCATGGCGCTCCTCCCCTGCTCACTCCTCCCTCCCCTCTGCACGGGGCCTGCCCTGGCACCTCCCTGGCCACGCCTGGCAGGCCTCCCGGTCAGGGCTGACTCAGCACCTGCAGAGCTCCGCAGACCACAGAGAAGGGGGGAGAGTGATGAGAGCCTACAGTTTAGGAAAGTAACCTTCACAGGAGCTCAGAACCACTGACTGGTTCCATGAACTCAGAATGTGGATGGGGAAAAGGCTCAGAAGGGCCTAGATCAGAGTGGGTGCCATGTTTGTTTGTTTTTTAATTGATCTGAGAGAGGAAGGGATAGGGAGGGAAACATCAACAATGAGAATCATTGATCGTCTGCCTCCTGCACACCCCACAATCCTGCCCGGTATCGAACTAGTGACCTCTTGGTTCCTGGGTTCCTCAACCCCTGAGCCATACCAGCCTGGCTCACAGTCCAACTTTGTCATTCCTTTCCAGTTTTCATAGAGTGGTAGTTCTGTTTCACGTTATTCAGATAAAATCCCCCTTGTAATTTCTACAGCGACACCAGATGCCGGAGAAGATCCCAAAGTGACAAGAGCCAAGTTCTTCATACGGGATCTGTTTCTGGTAAGCAATTTTATCAACTTTTTCCTGCCATCTTAAGGACGTGACTGTGCTCTGCAGTTTGCAAACGCTGACCAGCACTGAGCAAACCAGCCAGCGGCTGCCTTTTAAACGCCTGCCCTGCCTCAACTGAACTCTAAGCTTCCGCAGCCCGAGGAGGACCAGGTTCTTTGGTTTCCAGCTAAACATTCACTAGCTGGACACGCCCTACGGCTGTGTCCCTCTGTCAGACAGACACCCCAAGCCCTGAGTCTCTGGTCCAAGTGGTGCCCAGGTTCTTCTCTGAGAGTGAGGGGTGGGCTGCGGTCCCCTGTGCCCCCGGGGAAGGGAGCCAGGAGGCCCAGCAGCTCAGACGCCCCTGTGTTTGCAGAGGATCAGCACGGCCACCGGGGACGGCAAGCACTACTGCTACCCGCACTTCACCTGCGCCGTGGACACGGAGAACATCCGCAGGGTCTTCAACGACTGCCGCGACATCATCCAGCGGATGCACCTCAAGCAGTACGAACTCTTGTGAGCCGCCGGGGGCCGCCTCCTGGCGCCCTCCCCCCACCCAACCCTCCCCCCACCACCACCCTCCTGTCCACAGCCCCACCCCCAGGCTGCCCCAAGCCATGGTAGAAAGTAGGGACTTCCCAGTGTGGTCCGCACTACCGTCTGTCCTGCTCCGTGTCGGCTCCGGGGTGTGACCACCAAGCCTCTGGCTACCTCTGTTCCCCTCAGGTTTGGTTTGAAGCTTTTGTTTTCATTGACCATGACTTTCCCCACCCTCCTCGCCCTCCCCAGTCTGTCACTGCCAGCCATCCGCTCTCACTGGGGTGACACTGCAGTGCGATGTCTTCAGGTGGGGCCCCTTTGATTCATCCGGTCAGTGGTTTATTGATTCACTAAAAACCTGGGAGATGGCGGAGAAGTGCCCTTTCCCCCTGAGTTATCCAGCAGGACCGAGAGGTGCGGGCCGCCCCGGCTCTCCGGTTCTGGCTCTGAGAAGCTGCAGGCGGACCAGTGGCCGCTGCTTCTGATCTGCGTTAGCCCACGGCGCAGGAGGCCCCAGGCCACAGAGCGGCAAGAAAACCTTTTTTTTTCCCAATCATCTTCGGAGCCTCTGTTAGCCTCAGGTGTTTGGATTAGAGCTACTTGGAGCCTTTTATTTTTAGGCAGAAGACCTACCCCCTTCACTACTGGGAAGTGTGTCCCGCCTGAAAGCGATTCGCTAGACGTGCACTCTGCTCGGGCAACAGTCTTCTCTCATATACTCTCATTGTTTTATTGCTGGTTTATTACACTGTACAGATCACACAATGTAAGACTATTTTGTATAACTACGAAAAACCCTGGTAGATCTCTGTGCCTTGATTATGGCCTCCCCTGTGAAAGCAACGTGCTTTTATTGTGCTGAACAGCTAAGTATCTATGTTAGGGGTGTCGAACTCAATCAGAGAAGGGGCCAAAATCTAAAATCCAGCCTAAATCGCGGGCCGAATGGTTTACTGAACAGTCATAAACTGTCATTGTGATGGAAACGCAGCGGAGTGCAGTGATGACAGCGTGGTGCGGGCCACATTGCAAGGCCTGGCGGGACGGATTTGGCCCGCGGGCCTTGTGTTTGACACATGTGATCTATGTGGCCTGCCGCTTCTCAAAGGAAGGGAATGAATGGTATCTATGAAATTTAGGACATTTTATCAAGGTGAGACTTTGAAAGATACTCCTTGGCTTTAAAAAATTACATGTAACATATAGTAATCTTCCACATCTTACCAATAATGCTTACTGACATCACAAGCTCCCTTCAGGGAACATAGGGAACCAAGATGTTTTTTCTCTCCAGATAGTATATGTTCCTTGATTACTTTGCTGTTTCAAGATGTTTGCATGTTCCCTGAGTGGAAATGGGTTGACCATTCCCACTGTCAAAGCTTTTGAGCCACTTACTTGACCACAGGTCCCATCTTAAGCAAACAGGAAGAAAAAGACAAGCGGGTGTCCACGTTTGTGTCTGCCAGGAGACTCCAAGGGTGGCACCTTCACTTGCCTTTTGAAGAAGAAACATAGAACTTCTGTTTGAAACACAAAGTCAACATGTATGGCTATTTCTCAAATCTTGAAAGATTTGCAAATGCAGCCTCAAAAGTTATGGCACAGTGTATCTAGAAAGCAAGAATCACTGTAGCAGAGACGTTTTTCCATTCTAGCCGCAGCTACAGCTTTGAGGGTAGTGTCCTTAGGTCAGAGATCATCCGTAACAGTGTCCAAAATTGTAGTTCCACAGTACAAACCCAGAGAAGTGACAGCCTGGCCTGCATTACTTCATTAGTTTCCTTTTTAGTTTTCTGATATGTATTGGTATTTTAGAGTCTACTCTATAGTATAATCAGCATTTTTGTGATCCTTTATAAACTTACCCAATGTTAGACACTACTAGAGTAACATGAGAGGATGACTACTTTATAGACAATCAATGCCACAAACATTTTATTTTTCACCGAACTCCTGCTCCTCTCATCCTTAACTGTTGGACAAAACTCTCAGTTGAACTGAGACATGTAAAGCAGAACTTATTTTCAGTTTTCATTGCTCTTTCCAAGTAAAACATGAAAACTGAACAGATAAACCCCCCACCAAAAAAGGAAGGCATATATCATTACATGTATTACTTAATGACAACAATCCTCCTGTCACTAAACTTCCTATTTAAAAGTTTGATTGAAAAACTACACACACACACACACACACACACACACACACACACACCCTCTGGCTTAAATTACCAAGATATTTATTTTTAAATACAAAAGCCCTTCCTCACCCATTTTTCAAATTTATTTTCATCATTGATAGGCATTAAGTTGCAATTTAACACCTCAGTCTGCTAGAGAGAAAATTACATTGCTTTTTAAGTCTTGTAGACAATACTGTATATCCCTCCTCGTGTCACCTGTGGTTTTATTTTCACTGTACAGCTTTCTAATACATAGGACTTTGAGAACAACGTGGTAGGAGGACAGGCGCAAACCCGATGGTTGGTGTGTGCACGCCTCAGCCCCCCTCTCGGGGAAGGAAGGCCTGTCCAGTGCATGCACGTGATGACGTTAATTAATAGCATTTACATAGTGTACAGATACAATCTCTATTTCCACATACATTTGGGGGGGGGGAAATGAGAAAACAGACTTGTCGTGGAGTACACGTTCCATTTTCATAGCATGAGAACAGTACAGTCAACTATTTATTCTGCCGTAATTTGCATCCGTGAGTTAGCATTTCTGTGGTGCGCATCCAGACAGTCTCCTTGGGCCTCACCTCACGTGAGCACGGCCTGAAGTTCCGTTTTCCTTTGGCTTTGATATCGATTACTAAGTGCAAAAGGTCTCCTGCTCTTCACATGGTCTTAAACTTTCTGAGCAGCTTATAGCCAAAAAGAACAGGTGAGGCTACAAGTCCGAGGTGGACCAGCACGAGGACCACAAGGAAGCCCGCTGCCGCACAGTACGTGATCAGAACCGTGTCCTCCAGGGGAAGGTAGCACTTGGCCAGGGCATACTCCGTGGGCGTCAAGCTGCCCTGGAAAGGAGAGGAGAATGTGATGCTGCAGGGAGCATGCACAGCTCCCACACAACAGCACCCTACACACACAGCCGCTTCCCTGGCTGCTGAGGTGAGGCAGGGAGCGGCCCTCCTCAGTTCCTCTACCACGGAGAGGTACTCAGAGAGGCAGGGAGACGTAGAACAGGAGGAACAGGAGTGCGAGGCTGCTTTTCATGCCTCCCGATGCTAAAATCAGCAATCTGCCGCCTGGGTATATACATGTCCCAGAGGCATCTCGGCGACTTTTTGTTTGTTTGTTTGTTTGTTGTTTGTTTAGACGTATTTACTATGTGGGGTGACAGCGGGGAATGTTTTCATTTCTGACTTTGAATTTGACAACATGAGGTTTTCCCATCATCTGAGGAAGGAAGCACAAGTACCTGGCATAAAAGCATTAGGCACTGGATGCGGCAACCCAGGGGCAAAAAGAAAGGAGCTGCCACCTCGGGTGGTCCCGGATTGAAGCAGCCTCAAGCAGCGTGTGTGTGCGAGCTGCAGCCCTTTTCTGCCAGAGCTCACGGCCTGGCCCGTTAGGACAATAAGACAATAAGGAAGCTGCACCTCGCCAGTGAAGTAGTGAGCCTGTTCCCTTACAAAAGTAAACACAGAGAGTCTCATGCAGAGGACACTGCCGTCCCTGAAGGATAAACCGCTCTGCAAGCGGCTGCTCCCGCCGCCCCCCACCCCTGCCCCCCCGGAATACTGGCGGGAAGGCGTTCCCTGTGCATGTGGGGTGGGGACGTTCGTGTGTGGCTTTTGTATGTTTTTAACAGATTGCAGCTGTTGACAGTTGATGACTGTGTCGATTTAAGATACGTATGAAAGCTTTGAGACGAAAATAAACGTTCACGTTACCACGATGAAGCTGGGGTCGTTTCTGTTCCTCCAACTGAAGGACGGCACGCTGACCTCGGGGACCCGCGCCCCGTGGAGCACCTCGCAGCCGCTGTGCGTGTGGCCGCTCAGCACCAGGCGCGGCTGCAGCCACCACAGCAGCTGGCAGGGGGGACAGACAGCAGCGGGCAGTTAGCGCCGGCCCGGCCCCCCTTCCGTTAGACCTGAAACCCCTGCTTCCCAGGACCGCTCTGAGTTCTCCTTAACGTCCTCTGGTTTGACCAGATGCTACTACTCCAAGGAAGTCCAGGCTCTCAGAGAGAATCTGTTCTTCTCCTCTCAGATTTCACTGTTTTTATAAACAGCTAATGTATTTCATCATTACGTTTACATGTGATGACCAATAACATTATATAAATACGCGTTTAAGAAAGAGCATTCTAAGTCCCTAAAAACTGAACCCTACATTCCATTTCCACTTCTAAATACATTTGAGTTTGGTGGGAAGAATACAGAATAGCTGAGAATGTTATTAACTGGATATTAGCAAATAGAAGCAGATTTACTGGGGAGGGCGTAAACAAAACAATGACATGAAAATCTCAAATACTGCCAGAACCCTGTCCCTCCCCGCCCCCCGCCCAATCCCTCGGTGGAAACTACAAGACTCAGCTGGCTTCCCGTCGAGGCCGGTGAGCTGGCACACCTTCTGTGAGGCCGCCCGAGAGAGCACGTCGTATCTCTCCTTAAAGGGGATGGCCTTCTCCTCCGGGGGCGCGGCGTCCTCCCCAGAGCAGTTGGCGTCGCTCGGCCGGTAAAGCGGGAAGTGCTGCCGGATGGAGAGTCAGACGTGACTTCACGGGACCCTGCCTGGCCCTGCCCGACACCCGGAGCGCCGTCTCCCCACCTCACCTGCAGAAGCACGGGGGCCGAGGCCGGCGGCGGCTGCCCATCCCCACACCGGCCCGGGCGCAGCTCCTGCTGGTCAGAGCTCGGTCAGCGGGCCCGGCAGGCCCAGTGTCAGGCGCACGGTAGGAAGGGGAGAGGGAGCTGAGAGCGACAGAAGCACAGTGCTCCGACCGCCACGCCCGTAGGACTGGCCAGGAACAGAAGGCACCTGTGCCCTTCCCCTCACCTCCTACCTCTCGGGAGCAGTTCAGCCGGCGAGAAATGTCCACGAGCTCGGCTTCTGCTTCAGAGCAAATGCTGCAGCCATCCCCTTCCAGGGCCACGCTGTTGACCATCACAAAACTGAGGCAGAGGGAGCAGAGTCAGGGGCTGCCCGGGTGCCGCCTTCCTGCAGCATTATCCCCGCCCGGGAAATGCAACGAGGCGTCCACAGGAGGACGCGACTCCCAGAACAGCTTTACATCTGTGTGTGTGTGTGCGGGAGTCGATATTGGCATTATGGGGAGTGGAGTCCAAGACGTGGGAAAGGGTTTGTAACCCAGAACTCAGGACAAATGCAAGCGTACAGGAGCTCCCAGGACAGATACCACTAAGCCCCGCATGTGTCCCTGGGCGAGTTCCTAAGCTTCCTTGCAAAATAGGGATATAAACAGTCCACCACGCCTTCGGCTCACGGTGAGAATCAAATGAAAGAGTACAACAGAGTAGGGCCTGCTGCTGGAAAGTGAAGGTTAGACACTTAATACCTAAAGTCATGGTCGGCAAACTGCGGCTCGCGAGCCACTTGCAGCTTTTTAAGCCCCTGGAGGGTGGCTCTTCCACAAAATACCACAGCCTGGGTGAGTCTGTTTTGAAGAAGTGGTGTAAGAAGTTTAAGTTTAAAATATTCGGCTCTCAAAAGAAATTTCAATCGTTGTCCTGTTGAGATTTGGCTCTGTTGACCAATGAGTTTGCCAACCACTGAGCTAACGTGAACTATGGGCAATGTTCGGGGATGTCCGTGTACTCGGCAAACAGGCAGGGCTGGGGTGGGCCTGGGTGCTGGTTAGAGTTGACTGGTGTGGATAATCCCACACCAAGTCAGCTGCGGTTCTCCGTGGCAACCACTTAGTCATATTCTCTATGAACTCCCGTTCAATATGTTTTTATTTCCTACACCCACAGCAACGGGGCATGAAGAAAGTACCTGTGGTAAAGCTTGCTTGAACTGTAAAGAATTTTAGAGATGAGGAGCTGACTAATCAAATGACCTGAAATGTGATCGGTGTATTGAATGAAAAACTTCTTGAACCCTAGGCTCAGGGAGAAACAAACTCTGGGTCAAGTCTCCATTCTGACTCTGGAAAGGCAGCTACTAGACCCTGCCCTCCAGGCAAAGGGAGGGAACCAAGGTGTCTGTGGAGAGCCCACTGACCCCTGGTCCCTGGGGGCTTCATTCAGATCATATCATTGGATGGGCCCCGAGTACTGCTCTGGCCAAAGCCAGCAGAGTCCTGGATACCACGGGAAGGACAAGGTCAAAAAAGGACAATTTCCTCTCCCGCCTTTTCTCTTTCCACTGGTCCGCAGCTAGAATAACGTGCATGGACCATCGGGTCCGCTGTGCTCAAACACACACAGAGGCCAGTAAGGGTCAAGAGGGGGAGCTGGTGCTGATGGTCAGACTACTAGCAGAGGGTTAGGAAGCTCAGATCTAAAAGCCAAGGCTGAGGGAAGTAGGGGATAGGCACAGAGCTGCAGAGCAGTGAGCACACCAGCCGTCGAGTCCTAGGACACCAGTACAGGAACGTCCTTTACAAAGGGAAATGAGTAAATTTTGAACCAACAAAAACACTTCTCCACCAAGTGGACTGGTGAAATGTATAGCATCCACAGATCGTGCTGACAGAAAGAATAAAATTCCCTCAGTGGCTAGGCAGAGTCAGAGACTAACCCATTCGCTGTGGATTGTCAGGGGAAACTAGGGTGGTGACTCCAGTGGGGACCTTCAACGAGGAGATGAGGTGCCTTCATCAGAGACTAAACCAGGCCCCACACGCCATGGGCCTGGCCCAGCATGGCAGCCACCTCTGAAAAGGTAAGCTGCCAAGGACATAAGAATTCACAAATACTCACTTAATTCCTTTCCATGAAAACAGCCTTTCAGGGTTGAAAACTTTCTCAAATCGTTTTATTCTGTATCTGCTCATCCTACATTCAATTGTAAAAAGAAACACTTTTCAGAACGAGCCATTTTTAAGATTTTTAGGATCTGTTCATTGATTTTTAGAGAGAGAAACATCCACGTGAGAGAAAAATATCAATCGGTGGCCTCCCATATGCGCCCTGACCAGGGTTCAAACCCGCAACACACACACACACACACACACACACACACACACACACACCCTGACTACATGAACCTGTAACCTTTTGATGTAGAGAACGACGCCCCAACCAACTGAGCTACCCAGCCAGGACCAGAACAAGCCATTTTAAAACCTCTTAAGAGTTATTAGCCGAGACCAGTTTGGCTCAGTGAATAGAACATTGGCCTGCGGACTGAAAGGTCCCGGGTTCGATTCCGGTCAAGGGCATGTACCTTGGTTGCGGGCACATCCCCAGTAGGGGGTGTGCAAGAGGCAGCTGATCGATGTCTCTCGGTCATTGATGTTTCTAACTCTCTGTCTCTCTTCCTCTCTGTAAAAAACCAATAAAATATATATTTTTTAAAAAGTTATTAACACACACACACACACACACACACACACAAAAACAAAAAACTTTCAGGATTTGAGCCCCAGACAAGCATGGTTAGTTCAGGGCTCCAGTTGGCCCCAGGTTATCAAGGTGCAACTCTCGCCTCCACTACTGGATAACCATCGGGCCTACGGCAAGTGACTTACTCCCAAGGGCCTCCGCTTCCTCACTGGCACCATGAGGTGCTTAACACCGGCAGGCACATAATAAACACTACGTAAATATTGGCTATTAAAGTTTACCTCATCTTGTTTTGATTCCCAGAGAAAATAATGGGCCATTAAACGTAAGTTTCAAGTGAGAATCACCCAAAGGCGCACACAAATCATTCAGTTAAGAGCTCTGTTGAGGGTGTACGATGCACCAAGGCAAAAATCCTGGCCCTCCTGGAGCTCACATTCCGGAGCTTACACTTCACACGGATTTCCCCCACAGTCCAGTCTGAACCTGTAGCAGGTTCAGAATCACAGTCAGCGAGCGCGCCCTGTGGCAGTGCTGTGGTGAACTACTTACTGGTAGTGGAAGCCAATGTCGTGGTTGCCAACAACTACCTTCAGCTGCACGTGACCTGGGTGTCTGAACATTTTCTGAAACCTCTCCACATCGTCCGCCCAGGCCTGTGGGATAAAACGGTCACTGTGAGGCCCAGGAAACCTTCTCTTCTCTGCTGCTCCCCATTCTGATGGTGAGACTTTAGTGCCCCTGTCCAAATCAGATGTCCATGAAGCTAATGTAGAACTTAGGACTTTTAATTTTTTATGTCAAACTTCTTTTTCCAAAACCAACTTAATATTTTTATTGTTTCATTTAATGCCAAAATTTAATTAAATGCTATCCCCATCTTAAAAAATTAACTGGCAACCCTCCACGCCCCTCCCCCTCCCCCCAAAAAATATATTTGGTTCATACAGCTACTTTTTTAACATCCCCTGAAAATGACACAAGGACCCCAGCTTGGGAATCACATCAGATCTGGACATGTTATAAGAACAGACTCTTAGGACATATTAAGTCAATTCACGCGTCTCTGCCAAGACAAGGACAAGCATTAGCATTTCACGGTGGCCACAGCGGAGGAAGTGAGGCCTGATGACATGGGGAAGAAACAAAATCTAACTATTAAATCTTAAGAATTATGTTCACATAGTTCCTATTTTTATTAAGCTTAAAAATATCAATTGGCCGAAACCGGTTTGGCTCAGTGGTAGAACGTCGGTCTGCGGACTGAAAGGTCCCAGGTTCGATTCTGGTCAGGGGCATGTACATTGGTTGCGGGCACATCCCCGGTAGGGGGTATGCAAGAGGCAGCTGGTCGATGTTTCTCTCTCATCGATGTTTCTAGCTCTCTATCTCTCTCCCTTCCTCTCTGTAAAAGAATCAATAAAATATAAAATTAAAAATTAAAAAAAATATATGTCAATTGGATAACACTAGGATCGACAATACCTAGTTAACTAGAAATCAACCTCATCCTGAATGTTTTAAGTATGGCCCAACCTAGGGAAATATGCTGTATAGAATCCTTCAGTGCATTTACAAAGACTCCACTCCAACAAATAATATTTAGAGTTAGAATAATATAAAGTCAGAATAACATAAAATTAGAAAAACATAAAATGTTGCCCTTAATTTGGAAAAGCAAAATAGATATTCATCTCATTTTATAACTAGTTGCTTTTTACAGATAGCATTTCCACGAGCTCCTATTTAACTTTGAACTAGATTACAGCAAACATTGCAACCTATAAACATTGGGTTTCTATCATTTCTGGACCAAGACTTCCTCTGTACAGCTTTTCGATTGTCCTGTGAAATACCAATGGATTTTAATATCTTCCAAAAACCATTAATGACTAAACTTTTTTAACTAAGTGGCAAGAAGAACTTGTTTTAATTATTATTAACTAGAGGTCCAGTGCCCAGTGCACAAAATTTGTGCACAGGGAGGGGAGGGAGGGAAGGGAGATGTCCCTCAGCTTAGCCTGCACCCTCTCCAATCTGGGATCTCTCTCACAATCCAGGACTACTGGCTCCCAACTGCTCGCCTACCTGCCTTCCTGACTGCCCCTAACTGCTTCTGCCTGCCAACCTGATCACCCTCTAACCATTCCCCTGCCAGCCTGATTGATTCCTAACTGCTTCCCTGCCAGCCTGATTGCCCCTAACTGCCCTTCCCTACAGGCCCGGTCGCCCCCAACTTCCCTCCTCTGCCAGCCTGGTCACTCCTAACTGCCCTCCCCTGCAGGCTTGATTGCCTCCAACTGCCCTCCCTTGCAGGCCTGGTCCCTCCCAACTACCCTCCCCGGCTGGCCATCTTGTGGCAGCCATCTTTGACCACGTGGGGGCAGCCATCTTATGTGTTGAAGTGACAGTCAATTTGCATATTACTCTTTTATTATATAGGATAAAGGCCTGGGTGGGGGCCAGCTGGTTTGCCCTGAAGGGTGTCCCGGATCAGGGTGGGGGTTCCCTTGGGACATGGGGAGGCCTGGGCGAGGGGCCTATGGTGGTTTCCAGGCTGGCCACACCCCCCAGCAACCCAAGCAGAGGCCCTGGTATCTGGGATTTATTTATCTTCTGTAATTGAAACTTTATAGCCTTGAGCAGAGGCCAGGGCCAGCCAGGAAGCTTGGCATCCTCCATCACTGCAGGCAACCCAAGCCTCCTACTCTCTCCAGTTCCATGGCTGCCACCATTTTTGTTGGGATTGATTTATCTTCTATAATTGAAACTTTGTAGCCTTGAGGGGAGGCCAGGGCCAGCCAGAGCAGTCAGGAAGCTTGGCTTCCTCCATTGCTGGGGAAACCCACGTCTCCTGCTCACTCCATGGCCACAACCATCTTGGTTGGGTTAATTTGCATCCTTTGCTCCTGATTGGCTGGTGGGCGTGGCTGGTGGGTATGGGCTGGTGTACAGTCGATTTGCATGTTTCTCTTTTATTAGTGTCGATTCCAGAAATGTAATAAGCAAAGCAGTGACAGCTAAGGAGAGAACAGCCTCTCTTATCATCACCTCAATACCCCACAGAGGCCTCAGGACCCCTGAAGGTAGAGGAGCTGCCCACTAAGCCCCCAGGGCTCCTTCTGCACCTTTCCCTCAGAAGAAAGGAAACAAGAGGAACAAGTAATTTATATATCACAGTTCTTACAAATTAGTGGCTAAATAAGAGTGTAAAGTCAAATCACATTGCACTGTGTATTCTGTCATTTTGGTGACGACCGAAATAGCATCCATCTTGCCAATTTCCCCCTTTTGAAAGAGGTTCGTGGGAATGTGCCTTCCAACCACGTCTGGCTAATCAGCATATTTCCTACACAGACAAATATAAAATCAGTCAACCTAACTCGAGATTGGCATTAGACACAGACCCTCCTAACCTTCAAGACAAGACTATGCATTGTTAATATTAATATTAAGCAAAACTTCCACCCCTCCCTGACTTTGCTCCGTGCATTTGCGGGCTGCCTACACAGGCTGTGAAAGCAGGATGAGGGCACCAGGACTGAAGGATCCTACCTGGGGGGAGCTCCACTTCCCTTCATCAAAGATGTCTCCCAGAATGAAGACGACTTCCGGCTGCAGCAACCACAGAGCCGTCTGGAAGGCTCTCTCCATTTGCCACTCCCTGGAGGCAATGGAAAAGGGCATCAGGCTGTTTCCTGGGTGGAGCCCACATCCATCTTATGGGCCATTTAAAAGGCGAACGAAATGGTCCCCTATTCCTCCTTCACTGGCCCCATCCTCGCATTCGCATCCACTGCCCCGAAGGACCAAAGAAAGGATTCTGATTAAATGTACCAGAGAGTAGTCAGTCAATTTGCATGTTTGTTCTGTTGCTGTGGCTGCTTCTTCACACCTATCGAATGCTGACTCCTCCGATGGTGCCCACAGAGCAGGCCCCACGCTGCACCCCGAAGCCAACACTCAGTCGTGAGCGCCCGGGGATCTGAGGGCTCAATGCAGCTTCCAAAGCTGCCCAGGGTAGACTGATTCTGCAGGACACCGAGCAGATGGCAGCACCTGGTTTAACTTCCACTGCCTGAAGAGACCTCCACTTCCTGCCCTCAGAGCTGGGGCGAGACCATGAGAGAAGCACACTCGCCAACATCAGCTTTAGGTGAACAAGTGGAAGTCAAGAGCCTGGAGCTGGAACCCGACAGGCCATGGCTTAGCATCCCAGCTCCACCCAAGAACCAGCGGTGACGCTTTGAGAATGCTGCCTCCTCTCTCTGGCTCCTAGCTTCTTAGCTTCTTCGTGGGTAAATGAGGATCACGGAAACCTGCTTTCACGGGGTAGTTGTAGGATTAAGGGAGAGAGTATTTGTAAAGAGCCGGCACAGCGTAGGTGTTCAAAAATGTCAGTGCTTCCTCAGCCCTGCCTCTCTTTTCCCCTAACCAACTGTGTCGTTTTCCTAAAGATCCCAATACTTCCCTCCTTTTTACAGCATCTTTCCTGGCTGCTTCCGCCCTGTTAAGGAGGACTGTCCCGTCCTGGGCATACACATAGGGGACAGTAACTTTTGGTCAGAGGAGACTTTTCAGGCCCCTTGTAAACTGCTGCATGGTACAGCTTCACTCAAGATACCTCCCATAATACAGTCCTCAGCTTTTCTTGACTTAATGTTAGTTGCCCTGGAGAAGCATCTAGAAGGAGCCACAGCAACAGAACAAAGAAGGCTACTTGGGGGACTGAGCATAAATAAAGCACAATTTGTAAGACCCAAACAAAACCAAAGAAGCTCAGTCTCATCCTGGCCTTCTCTAGGTCATGCCTCTTATGGCTTGAAACTAGGAGTAAAAAGTACAGCAGCCCCTCCATCTGCCCTTCTTTCGTCTTGTCTTCTTCACCCACCCCTGGGGACATCACACATCTTCCCCTGCCACCCAACATAAGGCCCATGTGCTCTGAGGCCATTGCTATTCGCAAGAATAGACACCTATTCAGCGAGACACAAGTGAAGCCATGGGAAGGAAAAGGGGTCAGCTTACAGGGCACAGGGATGAGAAGGGAGCTCTGCTGACCGGTGGTCGGAAGCCCCCATCCATCACCTCTTGGTGGGCCTTGTTCAAAGAAGCCAAGAGATGGAAGCAACCCCCAAGTCCATCGACGGGTGCGTGGGTAAACAAAATGTGGTGTAAACCTACCGTGGAATCTTACTCAGCCTTAAAAAGGAGGGGAATTTTGACACATGCTATAACACAGATGAACCTTGGAAGACATTATGCTAAGTGAAATAAGCCAGTCACAAGCGAACAATTACAAATACACTTATATAAGAATGTAAGCTTAAGCCCTGGTGGGTGGCTCAGCTGGTTGGAACGTCATCCCATACACCAAAAAGTTGCGTTGATTCCTGGTCAGGGCACATACCTAGGTTACAGGTTTGATCCCCAGTCAGGACCAGTGCCGGAGGCAATCGATCAATGATTCTTTCTCTACACGGACGTGTCTCTCTCTCTCTCTCCCTCTCTATCTTTCTTTCTCTATCTCTTTATCTCTCCCCACCCACCCACCCCTTCCTCTTCCTCTGTCTCTAAAGCTGAATAAAAAAAATAGTCGGGTGAGGATTTTAACGAAAGATGTTTAAGATGATGACTTTTATGTCGTGTGTATTTCGCCACCATTAAAATTTCTTAAATGCCTTCTGTGGGGAAACAGACAGACAGCGCTGGGCAGGTCTAAGGTGGAGACAGGAGTCGATCCTCCCCCAGGGAAGCAGCCACAGCCACCTCCTGCTGCCACAGTGGACCAAAACCAAGCAAGCTCAACACACACCCCAGTGCCCGGGAGAGAGTCCGCCCGGCCCAGGAGAAAGGAAGCCCACTTCGCTGACCACAGCCACATGCTGGGCACTGCCATGGGCATTTTCGTCATACAGCCTGTGGCACTTCTCGTGTTAACCCCGTTACAGACAAGGAGGCAGAGACAGGCTCAGAGGGCCCCAGTGACTTGTCCCAAGTCATGAGACTCAGACCCAGTCCTCCCTTCCAAATTCTGGGTCTTTGTCTATAACAGATGCTCAGTGAATAGTAAGTTCAAGAAGTCAACTGCCCCATGTTTCCCTTTGAGAGGAAAACAAAGAGTATCCTGGAGCCATTAAGCCTGGCCAGCGGGGAGAGCACGATACCTTTTTGCCTACAGAATTTCAGAAAGATTCCTGATGTTAGCTCTTACCTCCGTAACTTGTCTAGCCAGTGGCCTCTGATTTCCCCAAGCAAGTGGGTGTCAGCCAAAAACATGGCGTTCAGGACAGGTTTGAGAGTCCCTGGTTCCCGGTCACGGGCTGCAGTTTTCACCTCGGGCCAATTACACCGAAGGATCACTAAGTAATAGATAAAAAATTCACAAAACAGAAGCACGGAACAGACAAAAGCTGTGAGTTTCAACAGCAAGAAACTCCTTCTCTTCCACAGATGAGAATTCAGCCTTCCAAACCCAAATCGGAGAGCAGCCATTCCTCCGGCCCAGCAGCTGCCCGCAGCCACGACTCAGATCCACGAGGAAATTGGAATCCCAGGGAAGGTGCAGATGATGTCCAGGTCTTAGCCATGAACCTACAGAGAAAAGGGAAAGGATTGGTCTGTGGTTCTATATGAAGAACTAAGGAGCCCTGGCTGGTTTGGCTCAGTGGACAGAGCATCGGCCTGCAGACTGAAGGGTCCCGGGTTCAATTCCCATCAAGGGCACATGCCCAGGTGGCAGGAGGCAGCCGATCAATGGTTCTCTCTCATCACTGGTCTTTCTATCTCTCTCTTCCTCTCTGAAATCAATTTAAAATTTTTTTCTCAATGGAATATGGAGTCACAGAATTCTATCTACATTCCCAACTGAACAAACTGTCCTCTACTCTTACAGCGATAATATGTCTGATTACTGATAACCAGGTAGGCCAGAATAACGCTATTAGAATTGCTGCCCATTCGGCTGATAAAACTTTACTACTACTTTGGAAATCATTCAGTGAAAATCAATCAGATGGATGCTTTTAGTTAGCAGACATAATAGGGAAAGTCCACAAATATTATTGTAATTTGATTCCTAGAAGGAGTCACCTCTCCAGGACCTTACACCAATAGGTCATAATCCCTTTGTAATGTGCTGGTGTGAATTCATCATTTTTCTACACTCTTTTCCCCACAAAACAGTGATTATTCACACACAGTGTGCTTCCGAGATCCACGCAATGCCATTCCCTCCCTTGCTCAAAGGACAGAATCCAACAGAGCCACCATCTCTGAATACTGCGTCAGATTATATATACTTTCACAATACGGGCTTTTTATCTGCATATTAGCCTTGAAAGTCTGGGTGGCCTTCTGTAATAAGACATCCACGCACAGTGGTTCTCTACGGGAAACTTTAGAATGCTGATAGATGCATCTGAGTCAGAGATGGACTTCGTATCCTATAACGAAGGCATCTGTTGTTGATCCTCTGAGGAGAATGGTTAATAAAAGGATGGCCTGAGATAGGATATAAGAGGTGGCATTCTACAGAAGGTTCCTCAGCTAATGCTCAAGACAAACATTTTATTTTATTTTTTAAATATATTTTGTTGATTTTTTTACAGAGAGGAAGGGAGAGGGATAGAGAGTTAGAAACATCAATGAGAGAGAAACATCGATCAGCTGCCTCCTGCACACCCCTAACTGGGGATGTGCCCGCAACCAAGGTCCATGCCCTTGACCGGAATCAAACCTGGGACCTTTCAGTCCACAGGCCAAAGCTCTATCCACTGAGCCAAACCGATGTGTATATATTTAAAATATACAGCGTGATGATTTGAGATTGTGAAATGATTACCACAATCGAGTTTATTAACACATCTATCATCTCACATAGTTAGCTTTTGGATGTGGTGACAACGCTTAAGATTTATTCTCTTAAACTTTTGCCCAGACTTGTGGCGCTGCCCGCAGAGCTGGAGTGCTCTGTAGCCTCCAGGTCACCATCCATTTTTAAAAAAGAAAACAAGAAAAATAATCTTATAAATAATAATATAACAATAAACTGTTTTCCATTCTCAGGACTGTAAACCTAACTTCCCCCCACCCTGTAATTATAGTATTGTTCTATACTCCCCAACACATAAGAATAGTAGCTACAGTCTACACTAGAGAGCAAAATATTTTATCCATTGACTGATTTTTAACTTCAAAATTGTTGAATATTTAATATATTTTATTGATTTTGTACAGAGAGGAAGGGAGAGAGAGAGAGAGTTAGAAACATCGATGAGAGAGTCATCGATCAGCTGCCTGTTGCACACCCCTTACTGGGGATATGCCCGCAACCAAGGTACATGCCCTTGACCGGAATCGAACCCGGAACCCTTCAGTCCCCAAGCCGACACTCTATCCATTAAGCCAAACCGGTCCCGGCAAAATTGTTGAATATTTAAATTCCTTCCCCACTCCAAAGCAAAATGTAAAACAGAATGTAAACACAAAGTTTATATTCTGGCCAGTGTGGCCCAGTTGGTTGAGCTCCCTCCAGTGCACAAGGCAGTTGCTGGTTTTTTTGTTTTGTTTTGTTTTTAAATATATTTTATTGATTTTTTACAGAGAGAAAAGGAGAGGGATAGAAAGTTAGAAACATCGATGAGAGAGAAACATCGACCAGCTGCCTCCTGCGCACCCCCTACAGGGGATGTGCCCACAACCAACGTACATGCCCCTGAGCATTATAGAACCTGGGACCTTTCAGTCCGCAGACCGATGCTCTACCACTGAGCCAAACCGGTTTCGGTGGCATTTGCTGGTTTGATTGCAGTCTGAGCTCATGCCTGGGATAAGGGCTCAATCCCCTATAGGGGGCGTGCAGGAAGCAGCCATCCGCGTTTCTCTCCCTCTCCCTCTCTCTAAAAATCAATAAAAACATATTTTTTGAACGTTTACTATGCACTGGCCTGTCATTTTTTTTCGTGTTTTGCTGGTTATCTTAAGTATATTATTACCACAATGTCGTCAAGGGTTATTTGTGGTTAAAATTTCTATCTTAAATATTTTAAAACAAAAGTTTTTTTTCTATCTATATCATAAACTAAGAAGCGAGAAACCCCTACGATTGAATAACACGGGCCTTCCTTCAGTGATAGTGATTTTCCCAGCAAATAACTGTTTTCTTTTCCAATAGGTGAGCTTGCAAGGTTAAAAGGGCAGGGAGGATCCAGCTTGCAGGAACAAGAAATAGCAATGAACCTCGAAGCATAAACATTATAGCACGGTTACCAGGATACCTGTAAGACCCCACTGGCCCTGGAGCTCGGCATCCCACAACGCGTGCAGATCGGAAGGCAAGGACCCCGGATTTCACGGGTCCTCTGAAACCCGCCGCGCACCGCAGTGCTTCCTGTTCCGCATCGTGGCCGGGCGGGTCCCGGTCGCCCTGGAACCCCGCCCCTGCGGCCTCAATCAGGCCCGCCCCGCCCGCCTGGCACCCACATTCTGCAGCTGGGGCTCCGGAGCCCGCGGGCGGTGCAGGCGGAGCTGGCCGGCCTGCGCCCCCGGGAAGGGAAGCACAGTCTGGGCTCCAACAATAAATGCAATAAAAACAACACATACACGCGGCTGCACCGTCCTCAACCACTGGTCCCCGGGGCCAGCCTTTTACAAGTCTTCTAGACGGAGCCCTGAGTCGCTCATCGGAACCCCCGGGAAGTCGCTGCAAACCGGCGTCGGCCTGGGACAGGAGCTGCACCCCAGAAACGCGGGGGGGGGGGGACGCGCGGGAGAGAAGCCACTTGGGCACGGAAAGGCCGCTGGGACGCAAGATTGCCTCCTGCCGGGCCGGGAGCCGGCGGGCTCGGGGCTGCCGCGCGCTCGGTCCCCCTGATCATGCACGGCGGCCGGGGAGGCTGGAGCGATCCTTTCCGTAATGCACGGCCTCGGCTCGGACCCGAGCGGCGGGCTCCCGCGGGCAGTGCGCCCCGCCCTCCGCGCCTGGCCGAGCCGCGCTCCGGGCGGGGCCCCCGCAGGCCGGCTGGGCGCGCTGAGAGCCACTCGCGGCCCGAGGCGCTCCGGGCGGGCTGGGTGCGGGTCCCCGGAGCAGCCCCCGCGGGGACGCCCGCTGCCCTGGCCTCATTGTGGCGTGGTCCCTGGGATGGCTGGCTCCCTCCCGGAAGCGAGCTGCTCGGGCCCCATTGTGGCGTGGTCCCTCGGATTGCTAGCTCCCTCTGCCTTCCGCTCCTGGAGGACCACACTATGTCTTCCATCTTCAGGGCCTGGCCCAGGGCCTTACAGAAAAGGGTGATGGCTAAAGGAGCCGGTCACAGTGACTGTTCTGGGGTTTCTTTCTGTTTTCCTTTAACTCATGCTACTGATGTTGTAACAGTATGGCATAGCATCTACTCTTCCAAGTCCTTTCACATTCCATTATTATCTCAAATAAACCTCAAAATAAGCCTCACTGTAAGTCAGCAGGAATCATTCACCCGTGTTACAAGAAGTACACTGCAGGTCAGAGCAGTCAGTCATTCAGAGAGCCTTCCAATCAGCTAGGCCTGGCATGTTTTTGCAAACCTATGAGTATAGTTAATGTGCTGTGATATGAGAAAACCATGTAGAAAGCAACCAGCGAAACGCCTGATAGTTAGTGAGTAAAGAATAAAAGGTAATTACTTTCTCAATTAAGGATATTGTAATATTTTCATGTCCGTCCAGACAAACGGTGCTAACATTGCCCAGCCTGGGGCAACCAGACTTTATATGCACATGGATATGCAATAGGAAGTATGCAGCCTCACTTCTAATGTCTTCCCACAAACTGGAAAAGAAAAGGAAAAAGAAAGGCAAACCCAGTTAAGCCTATAATTAACTACAAGCTTAAGGAAATGTAGAAGCCAAATGAGCATATTATGGTACACCACCAGGAAGCAGTCAGCCCATTCAGAATGTGGGAAATTCTACAGATTCAATGGCCCAGTTTCTTTACTCAATAAATAAATAGCCTCAGAAGCAAAGGAAGGAGAATGGAAAAGATCTGTTATAAAGCAGGCTTTAAAGACACACAGTAGCCAAATGCAGTTTGTGGGCCTTTTCCTACCTAATAAAAGAGTAATATGCAAATTAACCATCACTCCACTACACCACAAGCCACGCCCACCAGCCAATCAGAGAGTATGCAAATTAACCCCAACCAAGATGGCTCCCCGCCACAGAGAGCAGGAGGGAGGCTTGGGTTTCCCAGGCAAGGGAAGAAGAAAAGCTTTTCACCTGCCATAGCCCGCCTAAGCCTCCACTCAAGGCTACAAAGTTTTAATTATAGAAGGTAAACAGATCCAAACAGAAATGGCAGCAGCTACCAGTGAGCAGGGGGCGTGGCTCTGCTCCAGGCTACAAAATTTCAATTGTAGAAGGTAAATAAGCATGGGGCACCAGGACAAGGAATGGACATTAGATGGCACTAAAGAATGGCAGTTTTGCTATAATAATGCTCTTGTGGTCATGGGTTTTGTTTGTTTGTTTTTTGAAGATTAGGGTAACATACTAGAGTGTTTACAGGCAAGTTATATGATTTCTAAAATTTGTTTTAATACTGCAGGGGGGAAAAATTGGAGAAGAAACAATATTAGCAGAATGTTGTTAATATATGTGGGTTTGTTTGTTTGTTTGTTTGTTTGTCTGTTTCTCTTGAACTAAGCCTTGAAGGAGAAAGGAGTTTCCCAGATATAGGGAAAGAATGTGGAGCAGGAAGAACATTCCAAACCAAACTGGAACAACATCTCCAGGCTTATCATAAGCTTCCAGTTGGGTCTGGAATGTGGGAAGGGACTGGAAATGAGGTGAGGCCAAAGCAAGAGAGCCTTCAGGTTTATTCTGAGGACAAGGATTTTACCCATAATGCAACGGGATGCCCCTGGGGGGTTTTAATTAGCCAGCAGCAGGATTAGCTCTTCTGACTGCAGAGTGGGCGTGCACAGGTGAGGCCTGAAGCCCAGTTAAAAGATGTGGCAACAGGCAGAGTGGGTGGTCCCTGGACACGGGCAGTGGGTGGGGGTGGGGAACCCAAAGAACTTGTTGAGGCCGTGGGGGTGCGTGAAAATTGGTGCCTCGACTGTGAAGGGAGATACGTCACTATCTATTAAAACCAAAAAGGGGACATCTATGACTCAGAAATGCCACTTATGGTTACCTACCCTAAGAAGAATGTTGGTCCAGCATTGTCTGTTTAAAAGAATCAGACCAACGTGTTCATCGGTGGAGAACTAGATAGAGAGTATGACAGTAAGAGGAATGCACAGCACCTCTGTTTAACACAATAGTTCTGTCTCCAGCACGTTCTGTTGTCGCCAGCGGTGTTGGCAGCCAAATTGGACCTCAATTCTTGAGTTCAGCAAAGAAAGAATTCAGAGATCAGAAATCAAATGATAGGAGAAAGTTTACTTAAAGTTATAGATGGCGTAGAAGTGAGCCAGCTGGGCGGTGTAGGCTCAGGAAACAGGTCCTCCAAGAGGAGGGCCCTTGGAGCTTAGGAGAGAGAAAGGCAAAGGTACCTCACTTGGGGGGCAGGGGGCGGAGGGAGGAGGAGAGGCGTGAGCGTGCTCTCTGGAGGGACAGCGCCCCAAAATGTTGATAAAGTTGAAGCAAAATGTTGGTGAAATAATGGTCCGCAGAGATGTCCCCATCCTAACCTCTGGGCCTGTGAACAAGTCACCTTAAATGGCAAAGGGGACTCTGTGCATGTGCTGAAGGCCCAGGACCTCGAGAGGAGATTATTCTGGATTATCCCAGTGGGTCCCATTTCATCACTTGGGTTCTTGCAGCTGTGAAACGTTCCCAGCTCTTTCAGTCAGCGGGAGCACAGAGCAAATGGAGTCCACCCCTGGGCAGGGCCTGGCGAGAGTGCACGTGTGGGAACGGAGGCCAGGCTGAGGCCGGCCAGCCAGACCCCCACTCAGGAAGGGTGCTCTCAGGGGAGGGTGGGGCAGAGAGGAGTGCAGATGTGGGGCAAGGGCTGGGGTTGGGGGCAGCAGGAATCCAGCTGGGGTTATAGAGTTCAGGGGCTCAGCGTTTCTGCAGGTAAATAGGGGTCAAATAAATGGCTGGTGTTGTTAACCAGTCATCAGGGCCACGTTGTGAACCAGGCCAGGTCCTTGATGGGCCTTTTCTGTCCCTTTAGGGAGCGGAGGGCCCAACAGCATGGCTACTAACAGGGCTTCCTGAGCCCAGCACCCAAGACCACAGATCGCCGAGTTCCTCTCCAGTTGTCTTTCCTCAGTGCCTATCACAGTCTCGCCATGATGTTGAAGCCTGGGAAGTTTGCCCATAGGAGACTATACATAGAACTATTTAACTCATGGTGTTTGTTCTGGATGCATTAGCAGAGTCTCAAATCATTTTTTAATGTATTTTATTGATTTTTTACAGAGAGGAAGGGAGAGGAATAGAGAGTTAGAAACATCGGTGAGAGAGAAACATCAGTCAGCTGCCTCCTGCACACTCCCTACTGGGGATGTGCCCTCAATCAAGGTACATGCTCTTGACCGGAATCAAACCTGGGACCCTGAGTCCAAAGGCTGACGCTCTATCCACTGAGCCAAATCGATTAAGGCTCAATTTATTTTTTTTAATTAAGGGGAGCTGGGGAGAAAAAGGAGAGGGGAGGGGGGAGGAGGAGGAGGAGGAGGAGGAGAAAGAAGAGGAGATGGAGGGACAGGGAAGGAGGGAGGGAGAGAGAAAGCGGGAATGAAAAAAAGGAGGGAAGGAAGGAGGGAGGGAGGACGGAAGGAAAGAAGAAAAGAAGAAAAGAAGGAAGGAAAGAAAGAAGGAGAAGGTGGGAGGAAGGAAAGGAAATGGTTTGATGGAAACACTTGCATACACCACTATGATTGCTCTGAACAAATCAGCTGTTTTCCAACTATATCTACTGTCTTAGGACATCCTTTTGGGGGTAAGAACAGGTAATGGCTGGGATAACTCTGCATCTTTTGAGTTAAACTTATTTTTTATCTCCAGGATAAATTATACTTTGCTTTTATCTGAAACATAATCTAAAAGACAGAGTGTCTCAAGGTATGTAATTGTCACTCAGAAATAGTAAAGCTGATGAGGTAGTGAACTAACTAGACTCAGGCCAATTACTTCACGGAGAAATGGGACTATCACTGTCCCCAGCAGATGGCGCAAGCTGCCCTCTGCTACAATGAGACCTCACAGTATGACCAGTACAGTATCAAAAAGGGTCAGGGCTGAAACTGGTTTGGCTCAGTGGATAGAGCATTGGTCTGCGGACTGGAGGGTCCCAAGTTCGATTCCAGTCAAGGGCATGTACAGTAGGGGGTGTGCAGATGTTTCTAGCTCTCTGTTCCTCTCCCTTCCTCTCTGTAAAAAAGATCAATAAAATATATTTAAGAAAAAAAAAAAAAGGGGGGGGGGGGGTTAGGGCCTAGATGAGGAAAGAAATTGTTCAGTGGGATTCCAGAAGACCCTAAGTAGGAAAGACAAAATCTGGAGGCTTTTTAATTTATTACTTATGTTAAACTGTTTAATAACGTACATTAC